ATTATGTAAAAAAAATTATACGCAAAAGTTTGTATTTTATTATAATAGATAAAATGTCGAAAGATTTCAAAAAAATTTTCATTCCAAAATCGTATCGATGTGTCCTCGTTCCATTGCATAATGAAATAACTGCCAGTTATTTAAAAAGTCACTCTATTGAAAGCTCCTGACATCTCTCACTCGTATATTTTCTCCTGCTCCTATCTCAAGCGGCAGAATGTAAAAATAGAATGACGGAAGTCTCCAGCGAGACTTCGCACCCCTCCTATGGATGAAGGAAACCGCAAACTTTGATTCCATTGAGAAACTTCAAAAGCAGCAGATGATAGCAGTAGTAAATTTTTTCTATATCTGGTCCCCAGTTTCTTTCTCTCTTATTGCGAGAAAGAGAACTTTCATGTACTTTTAATTTATACGTACGTTAAAACATATAAATATGTTATAATTTACGGTCAAAAACAAAATAAACTTGAAATTAGGAGGAACGATTTTATTAATTCTATTAAATAAAAGTGAATTTTGAATACAAATAATATATAGTAATAGATAAATATTAGGCATAAATATCTTTTCTGTATGTATGTTGAAATTATTATAAATTATTATTAATATTATTTAGTTTATATAATAATAATATTATAATAATTATTATTTAAGTATGTATTAAGTTGAAATTCTGTTTTTAATGAAAAAATAAAATATTTGATTTAAAAAAAAATAAACGGACTAAAATATTTTTCCAATAATTGAAAACAATTATTTTGTTTTTAAAAGTTTGTTATGAAAAAGAAGAAGATATTAAAAGGTGGACTTATTATGTACAAAACTTTTCGCTAATAACAAGAAAAATAAAAACTGTCGTTAAATGTCAGTTTATCAAAACAGGATGTACGTGACAGTAAATACGGACTAAGAAATACCCATACTAAACTAGCACTCTATTGATGGAAACCTTACGTTCATCACAAAATATTTTTAGTTTAAACCATTTAATCGGACAGAAACATTTTATCCTATATCATCGTAGATTATATCAGATTACTTCAATAAATATAAATTAAAACTTATTAAGTATTGTATCTATATAAATTGTTTAAAAGAAGAATAAAGACTTTTTTTGTTTAACATTCTATCTTTGTCTTTCAATGGTTATTTGAATTAATTTTGTTGGCAAAAATATACATATATATATTAAGAAAATTGCTAATACAACTTCAATTTTGTGCAATTAAATTCTGATTAAGAATAGATCATAATTAATTAAAAAATACAATATGTTCTTTTATATTATTTTCTTATCTTAATTCTTCCCAAAATTTTCAATTTCTAATGTAAAGTAATACATAATTTCTAAATTATAATTTAATTTATATAAACAGTTTATACATAATCATATAAATAAAAATAAAATATTAATTTTTTCTTTTTTATTCTGAAAAATATATTTCCTTATTTTGCACCTTTTGTCTTTGAATACGTATTTTACAATCGGTAAGCACTAATATGCACATGCATGCGAAACCTTATACCGCGTACAACATTTCCGATGAAGGAAACTATGTCTTACGTAACTAATCTGTCGTTGGATAAATTTTTGCCTCTATAAATAGATGTTTTGTATAATAACATGACGTTATAACTAATGTCACTTGTAAAATTGTAAATTAACTTATGTTTTTTACAAAATTAACAAACATTATAATAAATAATATAATAATACAATTCTCTAAATGTTCAAATTTATATGTACTAAGTTAAATAAGCTAAGTATAAAATAGTGATTATCTTAAAAGATAAAATTATTGCGAATTATTCTTAGAAAACAAAACTCTCAAACAATTTGTGGGAAATATTCTTATGTTAATCTTCAACGATTGTGATTGCTAAGTAAAAACAAATGTATGTGATAAACGTTGACGTTACTTGGAAATTTTGTTATTCATAGAAGCAGGGAAAAGAGGAAGATTGAGAGAGAGAAAGAGAGAGGAAGAGAAATGTTTTATCAAATTGTCAAATTATTCATTTTAAACTTCTATACATATATTTCAATATTCTTACAAGCTAAATTTAAAATGGAAAATATAAAATTAAATGTAAATTTATGCTAATATGAATATCAATAAACAATTAAAAACAAATAAAAAATTTTTAAGTTATAAACACATATATATACAAATTAAATTATAATAATTAAATATGCTAGTAATCGATATATTTTATGACACATAAATTCAAAATTTTCTATTATTCAATATATTATTGTTTATGTATATACAAATAAATTGCTATAGTAAATGTGTTAAGGATGTCGCGACAAAATTTTCCTATCTAGACACTGTCATAGTGGCTACTACTATCTTTTATGTATTTATTACGTAATAAGGCTTCGTCATATATAACCTTCGACCACTCGTATCTCTTGAAACTTGCGCATCTTTTGATTTTGTTAATATTTGTTAAAAAAAGATATTATTTCACTAATTCTTTAAACAAAGATCAAATATAGAAAGTAGAAAATATAATAATGAAAATATATTTTATATTGTTAATTTAACAAGTGCTACTATGCTATATTTCTATACTTTCCGATATATTATCGGAAAGTCATTAATTTATTTATGTAATTTCTGAATTTGCAACATTTTAATATTTCCGTTCAATTTTGCGCGGCCATCAATCTTCGTACAGGTCAGATAAAGTGTAATTTAAGTAGTCGAATCGAAGACAAAAGACAACCGGGATGAAAAATTATGTAAAAATATTATTCATATATTACACGAGAAGAAAATATATCATTTATTTGTCGATCTCACAAATGTTTAGTTCCGACAAAAGCGAAAATTTAACTCTAGGATCACAAAGTATGGTAAAATAATTTTAACAATTCTTTTCATATGAACACTTCGATATAATCGACATAATCGAGTCATATCAGTTGCCAGATAAAACGCCTGTAACTTTCTTGCTTGTGTCACACAAAGTGATATGGACGGAACGATATGATATATAAAATTAATATGAAAACGATTGGAATAATGTAATATTCTCTTTGTACACGATATAGCCAACCTATATGAATTAGGCCATTAGTTAGATTACTTTGAATACTTTGTAAAGATATGCTGTTTTAAGACTGAACCGTTAAAATACCGCGAAAGTGTAGTTAAACACAAAGGATTAATCTCTCTACAATTAATCTCTACAATTTAATATGATTTCTAAATATCGTAGCTATATCCGTATCTCTTCGCACATCAAATTCCGCAAGTCTATCTACTACGTGACTTCAAGACAAAAATGAACGCTAGGACGATTTTTGTAATTACTTGAAGAAATCAGCAATTTATCTCCCGGAAAATAATCTTGCGCATAGAGAGGCGGGTCAAAAACGCAAGGACTCAATGGGAGAGAAGCTGATACTAGAATCGCTATATAAAATATATATATATATTACACGGTTAAAACTCACCCCAACTGGCGCCAGTGCGCCCCAGGAACTGTCCCGTCTCGGAGTTCCAGACGAAGACCCGGAAGCCCTCCCATTTCCCAAGCTTCGGCGGCGGGGTGTAAAACTGCTCGACCTTCTTGCCCTCCATCTCGCTGTTACGATGACTCACAACGGGGTGAGAAAAATCGCGCGAGAGACGAAAGGGTGGAAACTCTCTGGACGACAGAAGAAGATATGAGAGAAGAAAATGCGGTGTCACCCGCGCGTGCTGATCCCTCTCGAGAGCTGAGGACTTCCTTCCTCCGGCGGAACGTCAGCCGCGATCGAACAGCTCCGCGGGCGAGGGCGCAAAGGAAGGAACGGTCGATTCGTGCCCCCGTCTGGAGGAGCCGCTGCTGTCGGGCGCTCTCGTCCGGCGAAGGGTTGAATATTGAGCGATCGCGAGGCTGGCCCGACCCCCGCGAGAGAGGTCTTCAGTACCTATCCTTCCACCTCTCCGCCGTTTTTCACCCCTCGCCCCTCCACCCTCTACAGCGGCAACGCGCCGGCGTGGCCATGCAGACGCGTCAATACGCGATTTCCTTAGCACCCCTCCCGCGGCACGCGATCACCCTCGTTGCCCCTCCCTCCGCCCTTCCAACCTCCTTCCCATCCACGAGTTACCCCTTCGCGAAATTCGCGACCAGGTGGCTCCACTAGCAATGGCGGGCGATGTACCGCGCAACTGACGATCCGCGCACCAACCCCCGCGGATTTCGAGCCCCCCCCCCCGCCGCGTTTCGTTTTAGGTGCTTTCGATCGACCCCCGTCCCGCGAAAATGCGACCGCTCGGGACGGAGCTTACGCGACGCGATGCGCAGCCGATTCGCGTATGCGTATTAAGTCTCTCTCGCAAAGAGACGGACATGGAAGGGAGGGTGATGCCTAAGAAAGAAGAAGAGGGGGTGATATCGAGGAGCGAGAGAGAGCGGAGACAGAGGGGAGGAAAGCAGATAGTGGGTCACGTGTCTGACTGCCGCGATAGCTTGGGCGAGAATAACGACACGGTCTCTTCCGCGGTCCCTAAACTGCAGCGAACATTGAACAGCAAAACGCTGTTATGATTATCCCTTTGTGCTGTACGTAATAATATCCTCCGACGACATACGATGACGTGGTACTTAATAAGCAATTTTTCTGCACGCCCATAACGATATGTCTCGTGATATTGTTATCGCTAATTGATATAAAGTATGCAATCTTAAATGTCATTAATCTCAGCGAAAATATGAATTCGTATGACTGGTCTTCATATATCTTCTCTTATTATTTAATGCAAATATAATATAGATACATATGAGAAAAAGATTTCGATATAATTTAATAAATACCAAATACAGAAATATATAATATAATTAATATAATAAATTGCAGATTTAATTAATAATGCAATTATTTATCTGCCAATGGAATGATAATATTAATCTTTCTATGTGACTGTTAAAGGTAATATTTCTTGTTATAAACTTAAAGTTATTAATTAATAACAGTTTAACAGTTAATTATGAGTTAAGTAAGCGTTAATTAATTTATTGTGATTAAGAATCGAAAAATGATTTATGAAATTTTTCATTCACGTTGCACCGGCAACATTAAATCTTTTGAATTTGTAAGTAATATTGTTTGTATCTTTTTTAAAATATACCAATAGATATAGTTAACTAGATTTTTTAAATTCAAAAACAGTTAAAAAACATCGATTATATGACTCAAATTTTACTAAAGCATAAGCAACAATAATTCAGATTCAATCAATTTTATCAAAAACAATTTTACAAAGCCTCTTTTATAAATTTTATGAATATCAATAATTTTTTTTAACTCAAAAAATGTTACAATTTTTACGTCCACAAATAAAAATTGTAACTTCCTTTAATTTAAAAAATATTTTATTGTTAGAATGTTTAATATATCTTTTTTAATCACAAAATTAATTTGTTTACCTGTAATCTGTCTAATAGCAAAAATAAATATTAATTATCAAATTCGTTGAACACGAAATAAATATGAGAATTTCAATTATTGACTTAACATTAATTCGTACACTACAAATATTGCCATATCTCAAATTCCAGATATTTCTCCTTACAATATAATTTATTGAAATTAAAATGTCAATTCACATAATTAAATTGATGTTAATACTTGATTTTACATTTTTATGCTGATAAACAGCCTAAACTCTTCACATTGTTATTTAACATTTTTCATAATCAATATATAGAAAAATCTAAAATATATAACAACTCATGTGTAATATAAAAAAATAAATAGATATAACAATTTTCCATTGTACAGATCTTCGACATGACATTACCCAAGATATCTTATGTTTCAATTCTGTATCCGGATAATTTCTGCATTATAAATACCATTATTGTATCTATAATCATATACTTAATTGATTTTGCTCTACTTATATAATAAAATTAAAATATCTAAATATTTATATAATGAAAATAATATAATATTATATATATATATATATATATATATATATATTATATATATATATATATTATATATAATATATA